TCCATTGCTAAGAAATAAAGAAAGAAAAGACAAGAAAATAATAATTGCATATTTTAATATTAAATTGCAATAGGCGAATAAAATAAAAGGCCCATTTGCAAAGCCACTCTAAATAATATAAAATCCCATTTGAAATTATAAATTAAGTAAATCACTAATTCATATCACGACAATCAATGGTTTTTTTATTAAAAATCTCTGATATTTATATTAATTAAAATTAAAAAAGACTTTTTAAAAAAGGAAGCATAAAGTTTGCCTTTTAACATAATTTTTTAAATACTTTAGCGAGTTTTAATTCCTATTTACTTCAATGAGTGAAGGCTGTCCTCACAGATCAATAAAGTCGTTTTAGTTTATTTTATCTTCACTTATGTGAGATCTCATATTAGTTGAAAAAGGGAACGAATGAGTTTTAAAAATCTTGAGGGAAAGTTCAAAGAGAACAATATATGTCAACAGTGAGTATCATATTCTCAAGATTGCTCTCATTCGTATCTAGTCTTGTTTATTCATGTATTCCTTGTGTACTCGAACGTCACAAATTAAGCTAGAAATAAAGGGCTACACGAAAATATCTCTTTAAAAAACAACTCGAGGATCGTTTTTTAATCGAACTAGCCCTTATCCTATGCTTGGAAATCTCTAGATTTAGTATGAACAAATATTGAAGTTAAGTATAGAACCAAAAAAGGGTTTGGTTGAATAAACAAAAACTCTTGTATGGTGGGGCATAAAATAATGATTTAGACCCATAAAATGAAAAGGAATCCTCTTCACATCATGCATAGTGAAGAACACATTGAGAAGTTGAGAGAATAATAATGATCAAATTCAATTGAGAAAAGCAAATGAAATGGATAGCCACCACCATTCCACCGCCCACTCAACACCACATTGGCTCCCATTATAAACTAAAGTTGGAGGATGTTGCCTCTCTCTTTATTTTCTTTTCTTCCCACATCATTATTATGGACACAACCCTACAACCCTCACAACTTCCATTAGGTCGCCCTTGAACGAGTCAACCGAGTGTCTCAATAGCGAGATTGGATACCTGAATAGAATCAAAGGTGGCATTCCAATCCGATATAGATCCCTACCTCCCACAATCCATCTATCAGATTCCGTTCAAACTTAGCATTTTTCGTAATCCCTTCCTAATATTTTAACGATTATAGTGAACATTTACCCAAAATCTCTAAATGCTTGATTTGGTCGAGAAAGATTGAACTGCTTTGAGACCCAACTATATGGATTGTAACGTCTTTAAGTATGTAATTCACACCCGGAGAAAAAAAAGATGACAAATGTGATTGAAAAATTTTGTAATTTGTGAAGTAATACATTGTTTTATACATACATATTTGAAACCTAACTCAATTCAAACCCGAATCGAAACATAACTCGGTAACATTTCGATTCAAGATTTGAATTCGGACCCAACAATTGTAATACTAAAAGGATCCAAACTAAGTTCCAATGGCTCTAATAACAAATATCCACACAAACCCATTTACATTAAGATAGCATATCTCATGCTGTCACTTACCATAAGATGATTCACTTCGGATATTCTGGCGAACTCGCCGGAGACCCACATCCCGTCGACGCCATTAACATGTGGGTGAGAGAAGCAAGAAAGAAACGAAAATGGGGTTCGAAGAACATTGTAAATTATCGAAACTCCATGTGAATTTCTCTCTCTACGGTCGCCGCCGTCGACCACCCTTCCGCCGCCGTCAACTCCACCGCCGCTGAACATGCTTTCATCAGCCACTCGTGGGCTCTTCCTTATGTTGTGGAGTTTACTTCTCACTGCCGCCGCCAACCGCCACATCTGATGGTTGAGATTTGTTTTTTTTTTTTTTTGGGTTTTTAGAGGGCGAGGAGAGAGAAAGAGAGTGGAATTTGGAGAAGAAAGGTATGGAGATGGGAGTTTAATAATGGGAGGTGTTGATCTTGTAATTGGTGGTTTTGGGGTCCATTCATTTCCAATCCAACATCGACAACCTTACCTAATTATTCACGAAACCAGACTATTTTTCGGAGTTTTTAAAAATATTGTTGTAGAGATGAAGTTATGAGTAGTTCTTATCCTAGCTAGGTTTGACCTATCTATTAAGTATCAATCATAGTTTAGGGTAGGGCTGAATTTTCATGTATTTGACTTATCTATCAAAGTATCAATAAAAGGTTTATAGATATTTAATAACCCTTTTGTCACCGATGCGTTGTGTTCGAGTTTTGATGCGATCCATCTCCCCATAACTTCTCCTGCATTCATCACGATGTCTTTTTTGCACCACATATCGCTGTCTGCCTCACAATTTTAAATCGTGTCTACTAGAGAGAGATTTTCACACTCTTTGTAAGAAATGTTTCATTTCCCTCTCCAACCGATGTAGGATCTCACAATTCAATCTCCTTGAGGACTAGCGTTCTTACTGGCACACTGCTGAATATCTAACTCTAATACTAAGAGTAACTCAATCATTTTTTTTGTTTTTTTGTTTAAATGAGGTAGGTCAATTTGAAGTTTGAAAGAAAATTCCAAAAGAAAGTGGAAAGAAGGGTAGGGCATAGTGTTTATGAAAAGGACTTGACCACAAAACAAAAATTAAAATGGGAATGTGAGTGCTACTCCACTATGCCTTCTTATATTGCTCTCACCTTTCACTTAATTATGTTCTTTCCATTTTTCCTCTCTAGCGTCTTTACTGTTTGGTGTATAATTATGTCCAAATCTAACTCTAATTTCATTTGTAATAGCTCAAACCCATCGTTAATAGATATTGTCCACTTTAGCCCGTTATGTATCATCGTCAGCCTCATGGTTCGAGTCTAATAAGGAAAGGTATCCACACCCTTATAAAGGATGTTTCGTTCCCCTCTCTAACTGGTACGGGATATCCGCTTTCGTAATCAATTAAATAATAGAAATTGGGATGAATTAATATATTTAAATTTAGAATGGGATAATTTTAATTTATTCCCATTATAAACTACAACTCCAAATATATGAGAATTATTAAACAAAATAAAAAGTTAGATTAAGGTCAACGTTATTTTACTTGTTAATATTGTAATATGGGATTAAGGTATTAAACCTCCGACACATTATAATTTAATATAGACTATGAAAAAGTATTTCAATAATTGCTATTAATTTGGCTTGGAGTGGTATGCCACTATTTTTATCATTTAAATATTTCCCCCTCTTTTTCGGCTTTAATTTAGAATATAAATATAACGAGTGGACTCAAGGGACTCGAGGGACTCGAGTCGGCAAGTTGTATAGGTCGTACCAAGACGATACAAGGGTGAGCCAATGAGAAGCCATAGGTAATTAGCTTGTGTCAACGTCGAGTCCTCACTCTTGTGCTTCATTTGTTAGACCCTGACTACATGGAATGAGACAATTTTATTGGATTCACTCCTATTTAAATCAATATGGTCCGATCACCATTAAGGAATAACTTTTTCTTCTCTGTTTGGGAAGTAAGCTACCACATTGGCATCATTGGCACCATTTGCATCTCTAAGGATATTTACGGCTTATCAGCCTCTATTCCTATTCGACTAAGCTAAGGAACTACTGAAAATGGCACGAAATCACAGACGGAATTGATAAGTACCAACTGAGCCATTACTAGAATCCAATGATTCGATCTTAACTTAATATCAACTTAGAAGTGTTTTGCTAAGTTGAGGTGCGACTATCTATTATAGAATCGTCAATAACGTGGCTATCACTATTATGCGTGTAAAGATTAACTACTTCTACTGTTATCGTATTCAGAAAAACTTGTTTCATAACAACTCGATATTCTATCTGATCTTGATACGAAAATGTACCTAAATTAATTTTAACTAGTCACAAAATTATAATTAAAAATATTCAAACTTTATAAGAAAAAAACAATATATTCTTAATGCTTGACATTTAGAAAGGTGTAAAATTGTCTTATTTGTATGAATAGGAACAATAGAACATGCTTGGTCCCAAATTTAATATAACTTTTCTTTATTTTTATTATTTATTTATCTTTTTTCTTCATTTATTTATGTTCCTTCGATAACGACAAGTCCAATATTTTTATTTTAAGCAACACATTCTTATACTCAAACGACATAACTTTAACTAAAAAAAATAAAATGAGAAAAAAATTTATTTATAAAATGTCACGTCAGTAATGTAACGACCCATGTCTAGTATTCAAAATCCGGATTCGACACTTGATAACTCCAATATTTCCTTACATCTCATTTATAAATTGTCTTATGTGTTCGTATAAATAGTAACTTTCAATTCTTTTAAACATTTACTAGTCATTCTATTCTTAATGGTTGCTCTCATTCTGATATAGTCTCGATTCATTCATGTACCCGTCTTTTATTAGGTGTCACATGCTCATCATCTTTCGCCATGATTCGTCCTCGACCCACATCTTATCAAGAGAGGTACTGCTCTAATACCATTCATAACACTCCATGTCCTAGATGCGAATCAAGATTATGAATACGAATTTGGTATCTGATGGCCCCGACATTCTCTTGCATCCTCTATGACGTGGTCACATTAGTTACTCCTCACTTCTAAGACTAAAAATTATTATAAAATCATCAAACTATTTTTGTTTGATAGCTACGTTTGATCAGCTATCGTGAAACAACCCTTCTATTTAAGAGTTGGTTTGGATGTCTTATACTTGAAGGGCAATGTGCCAATGATCAACCGTAATGAGTTCCAAAAGGAACAACGTACTCCCACGTATTAACTTTCTTCTGGAGTTACTTGGCTATCTATGCCACGAGCGTAAACGTAATTGTGTTTCTCTATGAGTACTTTAAATCGTTTAAATCTCGAACCTAATGAAATTTTATCTAATTAGGGTTTTTGAATATATCCTAAGAACTAAACACGTAAGAAACTAAACGATACGAAAGTTGTTTGATACGACGTTTAAGATAATAATCAATGTTTGTTTAAGAACATAGACAACCATACAATCTCACACCAATATCATAGGTAACATGCAACCAAACAAAGCCAACACTTTATTGCCACGTGGAAAGATGCCACGTGTGAAGAGATTCCACGTGGCTTCCAAACTTAAAAACCACAAATTTCGTCACAAAAATCCCACACATAATATACCATATTTTCCGTTTCTTTACTCTGTCTTCTCCTCGGACACTTCCTTCTTCTCATCTTCTTCCTTGGCCTCCTCTTCTACCGGAGCTTCGGCTTCCGGTACCGATGACTCGTCGGAACCGACGTTCTCTTCTTTGGCAACCTCTGCAATTGATAATGATTCTAACTCCTCCTCCGCCGCCTCCTCATCCGACAGGATCACAACCTTCTCTTCCTCCTCCTCCTCCTCCTCTTTGGCAGCTACTTCAACTTCAACACTCTCTTCTTCCTCCGCCTTCTCTTCCGGTGCCGCCACTTCCTCGTTAACTACGGCCGTTTCTTCTGGGAGAGCGGTGGTCGGAGGTACAGCCTGCAAGTTAACAAAAGAGTATTAAAAAACATTTACGCACATACATATATATACATATACATATATATATATATATATATATATATATATATATTATTGATATTCTACCTCAACGGCGGCCATGGAAATGCTTCTTTTGAAGAAAGGAGGGTGTCGCAAAGAAGACTGAAAATGTATGTGAAATTTTATGGAGCTGCGAGTTGGTTTATATAGGAACATCCAACTCGAGTTTATTTATAAAATAATAACTTTTTTTATTAACAAAAAAAACATTGAAATATTGACCGCTTCAATATGTTACGTATTGTTGTTTACGATAGAGAAGTTTTCACACTCTTATAAGTAAATTTCGTTTATAAGTAAACTTCGTTTTTCTCTCCAACTAACGTGAGATCTCACTATCTACCCTCTTTAAGGGCCCAACGTCCACCACCATTATTTGGCTCTGATACCATTTGTAACAGCATGTTTTGATGCGTTACGTATCGTTGTCAACCTCACAGGTTTAAAACGAGTTTATTAGGGAGAAGTTTTCACAACTTATAAGGGATGCTTTGGAACCTCACGGTTTGCTAGCTCATAAATTTTGTTCTTTGGAACCTCGCGGCGACCCAAGTAATATCTTTTTCTTTGGCAATGTGTGCCAAAGCACCGTGCTTTGTGCTGTCAGGGCTTTAGACACGATCAATGATGAATTTCTTGTTCAAGTTTTTAATTTTATTTAATTTTAATTTTATAATATTCAAAAAATTTAATTAATTATGGAGGTATAATATAAGGTTGAGGCTACTAATTTAATGTGATGATCCATCCCTGACTAGGCTATCTTGTTCATATCATTTATTCTATTAATATTTAACTAATCAATCAATTAATATAATGTTGAAATATTAAGTTTATAATAAACTATTATTATTATTATCAATTTTATCATTCTTGTCAACTTAATAAAGTTGGCTTTTTGGAGTTGAAAATAAAAAATTAAAAAAAAATCATATAAAATTGAAATAATGGATATGGTCTTTGATTTTTTTTTTTTTAATTTAAATAAAGGAATTATAGTTATTGGGGCTTTGAAATATAAAAAATGTAGACATTTCCAACCAATTATTTTTTAAAAAAATTGGGAAAATAGAGCATAAAATAAAATATATTAAAAATAATTAATAATTAATTAACATTATTGTGGATTCCCATGAGTAAGGTTTCGTGCGCTCCATGTCCATAATTTGAATTATGATTCGGAATTCGTGTTCGATACTTGATAGTCCCGACATTTCCTTGTGACATGGTCACTTTACTTACTTTTTGCTTCTAAGAGTAAAAACTATTCCACATACCAGCACGAGTCTTTCTAGCATGTTTTGTCCTCATTCACATGCACCTAACCTTGGAGTTCCCGTGAATGAGCTACCAAAAATAAATGTGCACCTTGCTCGTATAAGTAGTAACTTACATTTCTTTTAAGTCTTTCTTAGTCATGTTATTTTCATGATTGCTCTTATTCCCTTTTATGATACTAAACCAAGAAAATAAAGCAACCTCGGAACGAGCCATATTTGATTTGACTAGGTTAGAGAAGATAATGTTTGTGTATACATCATATGTATAGTCATGTTCTTGCTTCCACTACAATATAGTCATGTTCAACACGAGTTCTTCCAGCATTTTTTATCCTCATTCACATGAACTTCTTGAAATTTTCCAACAAATCACCCAACACAAAATTACTCCAACAAAAGCACACTTTCATGACAGTTTGAATAAGTGTCTCCGTAAAAAATAAAATGTTTAATTTAATTCATGTATGTTACAGTCACGAGAAACACGAGTAATAAAACAAACTAAGAAATAATAAATAAATGAGCTCAAATGGTCAAATAACATAATCATAATATCAACAAAGGTATCCACTAATGCTCACACCAACATGTTCCGTGTATGTCTTAGGCGACAATCCTTTTGTTAGTGGATCTGCAATCATACGGTCGGCTTGATCCACTCTGCTTCGAAACTTCTTCATAAATCCTTTTGTTAGTGGGCTACTCACACTCATCGGGCTTTTGTTTGAATTGGGTTTTGCCCAATTCAAACAAAAGGCCCACGTTATGTTCTTAACTTGTTCAAGTTTTGGGCTTGATAGCCGAATCAGCCCCATAATCAACTGTGGTTCAAATTTCAAAACACTTTAATTAAACTAATCATTCATTTGAAACTTAATTTTGTTGTGTTTAAGCTGTATTGTTTGACCATTTCAAAGAAGGGACTGAGGAAGAAGCTTCTGCGACTTCGATTCTGAGCGGAAAGTGGGAAAATCGGTACGCTTTCAGTTCAAAAAAATGCCCCGCAATTCTCTGCGCTAATTCCCATATGAATTTTTCAAACCCCACAATCGATTTCTGTCTCTTTCGAGCATTTCGGATCACCACAGGACTTTTTCTCTGAAAACCAGAGCTAAATTCAAACCCCATTGCCTATTTTCCTCTCTGTTTAAGGTTTTTGTGATTGTGTTTCACTTTTTCCTTTCTGGGTTTTGAATTTTGTTTACTCCCCGTTGATCTAAACGGGAAAGGAAAGAGACCCACTTCAGATTTTGCCTCATTCTTTCAATTTCTTTACTGGGTTTTCTCATATGGAAATGTTGAGTGATTTGAGCTTCGTTATGTTCTGATTTTGTCGGGTATTTTTGTCGATTTTGTTCTGTTTCTTTGTCTTAGTGTTACCCTTAATGTCTTTGGCTGTTGAGGCTGCTTCAAATTCCAAAAACATGGGGTTTGATGAGAACCGTGAAGAGGGAGATACATTGGATAACCATGGGAATGAGAATGAAGCTGAGAAGATTAGTAGCCAAATGAATGAAGCTTCTCTTTATGCAACGGAGGATGAAACTGATGATGAAGGAAGCAAAATCGAGTTGGGCCCTCAACGCACATTGAAAGAAGAGCTCGAGAAGGATAAGGTTGTTCTTGTTCTTGTTCTTGTTCTGACATTCAAGATTGTCTGTCTGTTTGTCAGTTCATAAGTTCTGTTTCTGTTCTTTTGTGTCGTGTAAGTTCAGGATGATGAGAGTTTGAGGAGGTGGAAGGAGCAGCTTCTTGGCTCTGTGGATTTAGAAAATGCTGGAGGTAATTAGAATTGTTCTGAAATGCTTCTAGCTTTGTTGTGCTGTGCTATCTTTGCTTTTGGTTTTGTATATCAGTTCCATTTCTGTGTGTGTTTTGTAGAAATTCTTGAACCAGATGTGAAGATTCTAAGTCTGTCAATAGTGTCACCAGAGAGACCAGACTTGGTTCTTCCGATACCCGACGACGGGAACCCGAAAGGGTTGTGGTTTACTCTGAAAGAAGGCAGTCGTTACAAACTGAAATTCTCCTTCCAAGTGGCTAACAACATTGTTGCTGGCCTCAAATACACCAACACTGTTTGGAAAACTGGTGTCAAAGGTATCTATCTGTGTCTAGTTTTGCTATTCGTTTCAAGCTGGAGTATCAATTATCGATCGATGATGATGACTGACTTTGGTGACTTGTATGTTTCAGTTGACAGCTCCAAAGAGATGCTTGGAACTTTCAGTCCCCAGGTCGAGTCCTACACTCATGTCATGCCTGAGGAGACCACTCCCTCCGGTATGTTCGCCCGTGGATCATACTCGTCAAGATCTAAGGTCAGTATGTGTATGCAATTCACATAACAATGCCTAGGGCTCTAGCATTTTCAACTGGGCTAGACTTTAATAGGACACTATCTGGTTTTAAGAGCACAAGCTATAGGCTAGTAACATGATGTTGCCTTTGTCTGCATAGTCGAATGAGTTCATATTTATCCACGCCCTCGAATTAGAGGACGATATTCGGTTCCCGATTTCCATCCGAACGGGATTGTAATCAAAATCCTTGCTTTCCAGGCCCTTCTCCCAGTTAGCATGCAACTGTGTATTCATTGAGTTTCCTTTTTGACTTTTTTGCAATTATAGCTACAATGTGGCCCATTGAGTCCATTATTGGAGCCCTGTTGTGCTGTTCATCATCTCCTAAGGGACATGGGCCATGTTCTTCTGTACAATATTTGCTTTACAAAATGTGTACTTTATTTTGAATGTGCTCTGAATTTCCCTCCTCTTCTCAGTCAAAATCAGCACCAAATAAAGGTCTTTTCTTCCATGACTGTTCTTTTGACAAACCTACTTCTCTCAAACCTTCCCTGTTGCCTTTCGACGAATACCCTTTTCGTCATGTGACCGATGTCTATTAAAATCGATACAAATGACAGATCTAGTCAATCGATTTCAACGATTTATAGCTTCAAAGCAAAAGTAAAGTTTTTCCCCATCTTCAAGGAAGGCAACTTTTTTCCTCGGTTTTCGGCCTCGATAAAGGGTTAGATACATAAATTTATGTACTCCAAACCCAACTTTTACATTTTCGTGAAAAACCGCAGATGTTGTCTTCTTTGGGCTTTCCCTTTTGGGCTATTTCCACATCTTTATAAAGAATGCTTCGTTCTCCTCTCCATCCGATGTGAGTTCTCACAATCCACCCTCTTTCAGGGCCCAACGTCCTCACTAATACTCAGTCCCTTTCTCCAGCTGATGTGAGATCCCCCAATCCACCTCCCTTGTGTCCACCTCTTTTAAGGCCCAGCATCCTTGTTGGCACACCACCTTGTGCCCACCTTCTTCTGGGCTTAACCTCCTTCCTAGCACATCGCTCACTGTATGGTTTGATACCATTTGTAACATGAAGCTTAAATCTTAAGCTAATGGGTTACGATGAATATTTTGGGAGAATGTAATTTATTTTTGGTGGAAATAAGTGTATGTTTGTAATTGAAGTGAAGTGTGTTTGCAGTTTGTTGATGATGATAACAAGTGTTACTTGGAAATAAACTACACATTCGACATCAGAAAGGAGTGGGGTGCAACTTAAGTGGGTGATTGGGGTATTAGGAGGCAATGCTGTGGGAGCTGGAGTTGTTAAGCAGCCAATTTTTAGTCAATTAATTGCTCTTTAAATTACATGTAATTATAATTAAGGCCAACAAGTATCATGTTAATTACTAGTTTGGAGAATATGAATGAATGCAACAAACAACATTCTTTGTTTCTTGCCTTTTAATAAACCTTGTGTTTCTTTTGTTCAATCATGGTGGAAATAAGTTTGATTTCACTAACCATCTCATCGAAATTTTGGGATACTCGAGTAAAGGATGAATACATGAATGAATCGAGACGACATCCGAATGAGAGTAATCATAAAAATTGTTAAGCGTGTTTTACTTGAGCAATTTTATGTCATGTGACTTCTTAGGAAACTTAATGTGACAAAATATGCGGTAATTACTCTTAAGAAGCGAGAAATAGGTAAAGTGACTATGTCCGTGGAGATGCAGAAGAATGTTGGGACACATAGGTGCCCAATCTAAATTTTGAAGAATCTTAGATTGAATCCTACATGACACATGGGGCAGCCCAATCTAAATTCTGAATCTTAGACTGAATCCTAGATGACACATGGGGCACACGGTGCCCAATCTGAATTCTGAATCTTAAGGTGTCCAATTTGTCTCAAACTGAATCTTAAGGTGTCCAATCCTGTCTCAAACTAAATCCTAGATGACACATGGAACACACAAATGCCTAATCTGAATCTTAGACTAACTGTCTTGTCTCAGACTAAATCTGCCCAATCTGAATTCTGAATCTTAGACTAACAAGTGTCCTTAGACTAAATCCTGACACACTTGAGATTCAGTTTGAGATACAAATACAGAAACTTTGAATCTTTAATTCTGAATTATGAAAATCTTATATGACACAGATGTCCAATCTGTCTAAGTTGTTCACTCTAAAGAAGTGATCCAAGAAGCGAGTATCAGGATGGATCACATGAGTGTCAAGACTTGCTCGAGAAGAGAGTATCGGGATGGATGTGGGTGACATAGTGAAAAAAAACTACAACAAAACTAGAGAAGTGTCGGTACAGAGTTTGCCACATGAAGGTGGTCAGTTGAGAAGTTGACTGAAGTGTAGTGCCAACACGAGGATGAATTACAAGCTTATAGATCTTGCTTTCGAAAAGGGTCGTGGCCATGACAAAGGAACATTATAGTACACATCCCCGCATTGTCACCATAAAGGGATGTAGCCATGACAAGATAATGTTGTGATATAGATCTCTATGCAGCTCAGAGAATACGACGGTTTGTGTCATGATGGCCACATTTAGGGTGTGTTCCCCCTAGCTCAAGCGAAAAATTTCGATGCTAGCTTTTGTCATGATTTGTCTGGTAAGTCTTGGGCTAAGTCTGAAAAAATGGGCAAAGTTAGGACGGAGGGATAGCCCACAACCATTGAGCAAGTTGTGTTTTACAATGCTTATGTTGCGCGTCTCAGAGACTGAGAGAAGGTTCGACAGTGGGATAGTTCATAAGTAGTGTGCAAGTTTCTGTATTTATTTTGAGAGTGCGAAGAAGTTAGTGGGTCAAGTGAACAACCAGTTCGACATTTAGATTTTGAGATTAAGTGGGGAAAAGTGTCACAATCGACAATACGATTGTGCCTCTGAGAAAATCATTAAGGATGATGACTAGGTTAAGTGGGCAGAGTGCCACAACTTAGACAGGTGTATTTGTGTCCAATCTGAATTCTGAATCTAATTGAGTGTTAATAATAAAAATTAAGATAAAATTAGTGACATAAATGAGATGGTCAAATGTGATTAAATTTTGCATTAATTTTGTCAGCTCAAAACCAGCAAATCTGTTTGGTTTTGACATTGCCACCCCATTTCTTTTTTTATAAAATTATTTATTAATTCTCTTTAAAATAATAATAATTGACCCCAATATTTAATTATTTATCTCATTCATATAATTTTAAAATACGTCTATATCATACTCTGATATCATTTATAATAGTCTAAATCATCCATGCAGTAGGAAGAGGTTTTCGCACCCTTATGATTAATGTTCCGTTCTCCATTCCAACGAATATGAGATCTCACAATCCCCCCACTCACAATCCTCCCCCTTGGGGGCCCAACATCCTCGTCGGCACATTGTCTGGTGTCTAGTTCTGATACTATTTATAACAACTCAAGCCCATAGCTAAAATATATTGTCTATTTTAGCTAGTTACATATCACCATCATTTAAAACGCATCTATTAAGGAGATATTTTGACACCCTTATAATTTTTTTCTTCTCGAGATCTCACTGATTGTGATTTAAAGATAACCATGATATGTTTGAATACTGTATTTGGAGCCCAAATAGGACTTGTTTGAAGTTAGACTAAAGAGAGTTGAATTCCAATCTAGTTCAAATTTATTAATTAAGATCTAAAGATATCTTTGAAGTTGGAACTATTCACGTAATTCTCCTTTACTTATCTTAGATTAAACGGAAACGAAGTATCTCTTTAATAGAGCTAACAATTTATTTGTCTGAATTGGTAGCCGATGTTAGCAGCTATCCTAACCGACGATCTAAATCGTGCATGGGGTAGAGTACAAGGTTGGCTTGAGAAGAAGAGGAAAAAAAAAGGGTAAAAAAAGAATTAGTTCAAATGTGATTAAGAAATGCTACCCTACATGCCCAAGTTCTTAAGGAAATGCCTTTCAAATAAAGTATGGTTTTTTATTTTATGTCTCAAGGAAGATCCCAGCTCTTTGTTCATCACCCAATTACTCTCTCTTCTTCAAACCCACCTCCCCATTTGCTTTTCTCCTTCATTTTCTTTAAATACTTGCTTCAATCTTCATCTATTTCCCCATTATTTCTCTGTCAGAGCTTCTCTCTAAGCCTGCCTGGTCAGTCTCCTTCTCTCATTGTCTCTGCCTTTTTGCATTGCTAATTTAGGCCTCTTTTGGGTTTGGATTTGCTTGGTTTTGGCTGCTGTAATTTGTGATGGGCTGATGTAGATCTGGGTTTTTCTTACTTTTTTGTTTGGGGTTTTGTTGAGGATTTGAAAGGCTGATGGGACATTTTGGATTGTGTTCTTGTGTTTGTTTGTCTTTGAATTCTGCTGTTTTTGGCTTTGTTTTTCAAGTTGTACTGTTTGATTTACTTGCCTGGATCTTTGATTGTGCTGTTTTCTTGTTCTTCTTGCTGGAATGTGTTTGCTCTGTTTTGGCTAGTTAGTGAGCTAGTGAGATCTGGATTTTGAAATTTAAGTCTATAAACATAACTTTTAATCTTGTTAAATGCTGTTTTGGACTTGTTTAGTGTAGTTCTTGCTGAGATTTGATCCATTTGGGGAATTATACAAGCTTTGGCAATGGATTTTATTGAATTTTTCGTGAAAGCATATCAACTGTTTGTGAAAATGTCAATGTGAACTTATGAAGCATTGCAGTTTGTTTAAGATAGCTGAGATCTGATGATGGGCAGGTTTTGGAGAATGGAATTGTCCATGATTTTCACTGTTTGTAGTGCATTGTTGCTTCTGAGCTCTTCACCTTCAGATGCCAAAACAGCCAGCCCTCCGTTGCTTAGCCAGTCCCCGGCACCGGCGCCAGCCCCGGATTTTGTCAACCTCACAGATCTGCTCACTGTAGCAGGTCCATTTCATACCTTCCTCAGCTACCTCCAGTCTACCAAAGTTATTGACACCTTCCAAAACCAAGCCAATAACACAGAAGAAGGAGTGACCATCTTTGTCCCGAAAGACAGCGCGTTCTCGGCACAAAAGAAACCGTCTCTCTCGAACCTCACTGAGGATCAGCTCAAGTCTCTTATGCTATTTCATGGCTTGCCACATTACTATTCTCTTGCTGAATTCAGGAACCTCAGCCTGCAGAACCCGATCTCGACGTTAGCGGGTGGGCAATACAGTTTGAACTTCACAGACGTTTCAGGGACCATCCACATTGGCTCAGGTTGGACCAACACAAAAGTGAGTAGCAGTGTGCATTCAAGTGATCCTGTTGCAGTTTACCAAGTTGACAGAATTCTGCTGCCTGAGGTGATCTTCGGAACCGATATCCCCCCAACCCCAGCCCCCGCACCAGCTCCCGATATCGCTATCGCTCCCACGGCAGATGCTCCTTCAGCTGACAGTGATGGAAAGGCTGCTCCATCTTCGCAACCAAAGCCATCATCTTCCCATAGGATCATCAACTGGGGGATTTTGATTCACGTTGTTTTGGCAATTTCATGTGGATTTTTGTTTTGATTGTGATCAGAAATCCTACCACCCATTTATTACATTAAGAAAAACTATATTGCCCATTTTGTTATGTTATTGATCTAAAGCTTCATTTTTTTTTTTTGTGAACATATAAGTTGTTGGATTTGTGCAAGAGGTTTCCTTTTTCGCTCCTCTCTCCACCGCTAACAGATACATTAGTATCGTCGTCAGACTCATGGTTTTAAAACGCGTCTAGCAGCCCATGCCCATTGCTAGCACTGCTAACAGATATTGTCTGATTTAACCTGTTACATATCTCGCTCAAACCCATTGTTACTAGATATTTTTTGAGCCCATTGTTAGTAGATATTGTCCACTTTAGTCTGTTACGTATCGCCATCAACTTTACAGTTTTAAAACTAATTGGTTAGGGAGAGGTTTCCACCCTTATAAAGGATGTTTCGTTTCCCTCTTCAACCGATGTAGGATCTCACAGTTTCGATCGATTCACTTCAATCAGTAGATAAATTAATTGTTCTAGCTCTAACACCAACGGTTTGAATAGCTTGATCTCGAAGCTCAGGGACCATTTCAAAGATTCTAGAGTTATTGTCATGGAAAGATGAAGCCATGAAAGGGACTACAAACTACCCAACAACAAAAAGAAAGAGACAAAGTGTAAAGAACAAATGAAAGGGCCAAAATCATCCATATCAATTTACTTTAAATTTGAAACACTTTTTGAATAATCAAGAAAAGTTTGATAATTATAATAATAATAATTATTATTTTATAGTTTCCAATGTTTTAGGAATTAAGTTTAGTTCAATTCAATTCAAATTAATTTTAAAGAAAATTCATAAACAAATTCAATCTAAACCATATAAATTGAATTGGGTTAATCAAATTTTGATTCCCGTCTAAGAAAATATGACCGAATGAAAGGATTATGGACAAATAACGTTCATTTAAGACATACATGTAAAACATAAGTATATGCCTAAAATGTTTCTGTGTTTGGTATTGTGTCTTGTCCAAACCCAACAGATATGTTGGCTCGCATCCCCAAGTCCCTCACCTAAGAGATATGAATGCCAAATAGTTTAGGGCCAATTTACATGACCCCGATCAAGGGACTATTTTTTTTTTCCTATACAATACAATAACCGATCAGTTGATTTTCTCAAAATTTTAAATAGGTTTATCGAATAATAAAAATGACGGAAACAAAATATCTAACAAAAATGCTAAAATTATAGAAAATCACATCTCGTATAAAATTCAAATCAAAACGAACCAATTGAGTATCATAGAACATAAAATTCACGTGTCACGAGAATGTATACATTTAATGATTACAGATTCATGCATTTAAGGCACGAAAGGTATTATGTAGTTATTCTCCACCATAACAATTTAACACACTTTCCTTGTAAACGTCTCATTGTATTCATTAGGACAATATCGAAAATCAGGGCATGCTCCTACTCGTCTCATTTCTTTGTTGATACTATACTTCGTTAACTATATCTTTTTTCCTTACACGGACAAGTTTTAGAATAAAAAAATGATTTTTTTTCCTAATTAAAAAAGAAAAAGGGAGGCAAAAAGAGAAATTCATTCCAAAATGGAAAGTTAGATCCCTTCCTTACAAGAAAATATAAAGAATATTGCCCATGTTCTCACACTCTTCATCCATATTCAATAATTAATGATCTTGAAAATGCATATCCACTAAATCTTTAAAAGAGCATTAATTTAGAGGCATTGCGTAATGAGAGAGAGCAATGATTTTTCATTTTCAAAACTCAAAGAAACAAGAGAATGAAAGCAATAAATAATGAAAGAAAAAAAGGGTATTCAATAAAATCACGAATTATTCATTAGTTGAGGGTTTCAGTGGCTGAATTTGATTTTTGGGTCCCCATTTTCTGGGTCTCACTCAGCAGTTCCTTAAAACAAGCACGCTTTTCTCTCGTTTTCCTTGCCTATTCCTGCCCCTCCTCACGTCCCTTCATTCTACCCTTCACCTCTCTTTCTTCACGATGAGATTGCGTTTCGTTTAATCTGCTCCACTTCACTTTTATCACTTTTTCTTTAGGTATTACGTCTTTTAATCTCCTTTTCCAGTGTTCTTCATTGTTTTTCCTTTCTGGGTTTTTGTTATTTCCCTTCAATTCGTTGGTTTCGGATGAATTCCCATGTGTTGTGTTTGGAAATTTATGCATAGCACGTTGAATTGTGGGTAAACTTTGGCCTCTTCAACAGGGTTTTTGTTGGTTTTTCGTTTCATTTCATCTATGATGATATTTTTTCTTCATGTTTTTGATGTTGATTCATTGTAATTGCCATAGTTTCCTGTTCTTTTGTTTGTCTATTTGCTTCATGATTGTCTATGTTTATCTTGTGGATATCTAGCTCTGTTATCTGTTTGACGATTGAAATTTATTGTTTCAGTAGTTAGGAGTTTTTCTTTGTGTTGAGATATTCTACCAAAAAGATAGGTGAAGATGTCAAGCTTTGTGGGTGTTCTTGTTTCTGATCCATGGCTTCAAAGTCAATTCACTCAAGTCGAGCTTCGAACGCTCAAATCCAGAGTATGTATCTAAGTTTCAATTGTGTTTCTTGGGTTGTTTTGGTTCTTTTCTGGTGAATTGTGAATTCTTTTCAGTTGATATGAGGAATTGTTGTGTTGAATTCAGTTTCTTTCCGTGAGGAGTCAATCGGGTCGTGTAACGGTGGAGGATTTGCCTCCTGTTTTTGTGAAATTGGAAGCTTTTAGTGGAATGTTCACTGAGGATGAGATTAAAGATTTCTTGAAGGAAACGAGTCGAGATGTCGGTGAAGAAATAGATTTCGAGTCGTATCTTCGGGTGAGTTTATTTATGATAGGATTTGGATTGCTTTTTGTCCATGTTGATTTTCTTTTCTACAAGTATAAGCAATCATTTGAAGTGACCGATTTTATAAGATTCATTACTGTAGGCATACTTAGATTTACAAGCCCGAGCCACAGCTAAATCAGGCGGAGCAAAAAGTTCTTCTTCGTTCTTGAAGACCGCCACAACAACGTTTCATCACGCAATTAACGAATCTGAGAAGGCATCTTATGTTGCACACATAAACAGTTATCTAGCTGAAGATCCATTTCTGAAGAATTATCTCCCACTTGATCCCGCTACGAATGATTTGTTTGACCTTGCGAAAGACGGTGTTCTTCTCTGGTAATCGAAACAACTTGAATTTAGACTTTTCAATGTAACTTTATGTTAATGTATGGTAATGACCTTTGCTTTTGGTTGTTCTGTGCAGTAAGCTTATCAATGTAGCTGTTCCAGGGACCATAGATGAACGAGCTATCAATACGAAAAAGGTCCTTAATCCTTGGGAGAGGAACGAAAACCATACCCTTGGCCTTAACTCTGCAAAGGCTATTGGATGCACAGTGGTTAACATTGGCACACAAGATTTGGTCGAAGCTCGAGTGCGTTAAAAACTACCTCTCTAGCCCGGCCCGTCTAATTGAATCTACATATTAGCATAACTATTTTAATAAAGTTAATGTAAAGTTTCCTAATTTTGTTTCTTTCTTTTAAATTTATTTTCTAGCCACATCTGCTGCTTGGATTGATATCACAAATAGTTAAGGTATTAATGAATTGTTCTTCTTCATTTTTCTTGTCGAATATTTTTAATTTAAGGACATGATTTTCCGAGGTCTTCACGGAACGGGTTTTATTTATCTCTTTTAATGTGCTGGGAATGTAGATTCAACTGTTGGCTGATCTTAATCTGAAGAAAACTCCTCAACTTGTGGAACTTGTGGCTGATAGCAAGGTATTTTTTTTCTTTTTGCCCCTTTTTCTTTGTTCATGCCTTGTCGAAAGATGAAGCTATTAGCATAGGGTGGTCGGTTTGTAACGATTCTTACAAATATTTTCTATAACGTGCAGGAAGTGGAAGAACTCATTGGGTTGGCACCAGACAAAGTTTTACTCAAATGGATGAACTTCCATTTAAAGAAAGCTGGCTATGAGAAACAAGTCACGAACTTTTCGTCAGACGTGAAGGTTAGAGAATACCCACCGGTTGTATATATTGCACGGAAAACTTTAATAGACTCTTATGCTATAGTGGTTTTGAGGCTAATCAGTCCCACATTGGCTAATTAAGGGGATGATCGTGGGTTTATAAGTAAGGAATACATCTCAGGCCTTTTGGGGAAACCAAAAGCAAAACCACGAGAGCTTATGTTCAAAGTGGACAATATGATACCATTGTGGAGAGTCGTGTTCCTAACATGTTTGAAGTTCGTGTGGTTTGAAACAGTATTGATTAAGTTTTTTATATGCAGGATGGGGAGGCATATGCTTATCTGCTTAATGCTCTTGCACCGGAGTTCTCTGGTTCCTCTACTATGAATGTTAAAGATCCTACTGAAAGAGCTAATTTGGTTCTTGAGCATGCAGAAAAATTGGATTGTAAAAGATATCTAACTCCCAAGGACATTGTTGAGGGTTCACCTAATCTTAATCTTGCATTTGTTGCCCAAATTTTTCAGCACAGGTGAGAAATGTTTCTTTCAGACTCGAACCATTTGAAGCCTTATTCGAGTGCTTTCCCTCGAGCTTTTCGTCGAATCTTGGCTACACCATTGCCTTTTCATCTTAATCAATAGATATATTGACTGATGCTGCATAGCTGAATGTCTATTCCAAATTGCGAACTTGTAAATGCAGGAATGGGTTGACTGCGGATACCTCGAAAATGTCATTTGCAGAAATGATGACGGATGATGCGCAAACATCTCGGGAAGAGCGATGCTTCCGTTTGTGGATTAACAGTCTAGGCATAGCCACATATGTCAACAATGTCTTTGAGGACGTCCGAACTGGGTATTGTTTTTGTTCTTCCTTCGACTTATGAATTACTTTTACGTCCTTACAGACGAGCTTGAGATATGATGTTCATACTGCAGATGGGTTCTTTTGGAAGTTCTTGACAAAGTTTGTCCTGGATCAGTAATCTGGAAACAGGCAACAAAGCCTCCTATCAAGATGCCGTTTAGAAAAGTTGAGAATTGCAACCAAGTTGTAAAACTTGGGAAGGACTTAAAATTTTCTCTTGTAAACGTTGCTGGGAATGATATTGTGCAGGGCAACAAGAAGCTTATACTAGGTAACCACAATATCTTTCTACTCTTCGTTTATTTACAACTTTTATTTATATGCTCGTTCGATCTTGAAACGGGATGTTATCGTGCAGTGTTTATAGTTTGTTTGATTCACTGGTGGGTGGTGGAACGGTTAATAGACTGTACTTGTGAGCTAAATATATTCGGAAGAAGAACGAAACGAATTGGTAGCTTTAGCAGATGAACTTGTCTTAAGCAACCAACTTACTCAAATAGTTCTTACACACATAGTTAAAAGAGGCTAGGAAACATGGAGACATAAAATACGGGATTCTATCTGTAATAGTCCAAGCCCACCGCTAGTAGATATTGTCCTATTTAGGCCCTTTCGGGCTCTATTCAAGGTTTTTAAAACGCGTATACTAGGGAGAGGTTTTCACATTCTTATAATGAATGTTTTGTTCTTCTCTCCAACCGATGTGGGATCTCACACTATCAACTTGTTCCAATCTAGGATAATAAACTCACGAGGCTTTTCCTTTCATGCTCCCCTCAAGGTTTTTAAAACGCGTCGGCTAGGAGGAGGTTTCCACACTCTTATAAAGAATGTTTCGTTCTTCTTCCTAACCGATGTGAGATTGATCACACTATCAACTTGTTCTGACCTAGGATGATAAGCTCATGAGCTTGGTCTTATTTTACTATTGAGAAATGAACGAAAACTTCCATCTCCAAGCTTAACTCAAACTTAGCTTGCTTCTTTTTGGGTGTGAAGTAGTGTCAAACTAAAATACCCAACGAGCATTAGTTCTCCTTGAAAAGGAGGTTATCGAGCCGTACCTACCTTGTTACGACTTCACTTCAGTCGTTAGTCACTAGCCATGAGGTCGTTACACGAGAGGCAAAGAGAGTAACATTTAAAGACAATTACATTGTTATTGAACAGCATTTTTATGGCAACTGATGAGGTTTACAATGCTTCAACTGTTGAGAAACCTGAGATCACATTCTCAAGGCAAAGAGGGAAAGGAGATCACGGATGCTGATATTCTGAACTGGGCTAACAACAAAGTGAAGAAAGCTGGAAGAACCCACCAAATGGAGAGCTTCAAGGTTAACAAGTTAAGAATATTAATGTTCTTCCTTGACTTTCTGTAGTTGATTGTGTGATGTGGATGATATTAACTTCTGGTTTCAGGACAAGAATCTTTCAAATGGCATGTTCTTCCTGGAGCTTCTTAGCTCTGTGGAGCCAAGGGTGGTGAATTGGGCTGTTGTTACAAAAGGAGAAACTGGTTAGTGTTACATCTTTCCATGTGGGTTTGTTTTAATTTTGACTGTAAAATGGTGAAATTGCAGAGGAAGACAAGAAGCTGAATGCGACGTACATTATTAGTGTTGCTCGAAAGCTTGGCTGCTCCCTTTTCTTGCTACCTGAAGACATTATTGAAGTAAGTAGCAAACTACGTTATCATACTAAATTTGTGTACTCACTTGTTAACAGATATTGTCCACTTTGGCCCTTTATATATTGTCGTTAGTCTTACCGTTTTAAAACGCATCTGTTAGAGAGAGGTTTCTACACCCCTATAACAAATGCTTCGTTCCCCTCTCCAACCAATGTGAGATCTCACAATCCACCCTCTCGGGGATCTAGCATCCTTGTTGGCACATTGCCCAGTGTCTGGCTGTAATATCATTTGTAACAGCTCAAACCTACCACTAGTAGATATTGTCTGCTTAGGCCTGTTATGTATTGCCGTGAGCCTCATGGTTTTAAAACGCGTCTGTTAGGGAGAGGTTTCTACACCCTTGTAATAAATGCTTTGTTACTCTCTTCAACTAATGTGGGATCTCCCAATCCACCCCCTCGGGGGGCCAGCATCCTCGTTGGCACACCACTCGGTGTCTGACTATGAGATCTCACATTGGTTGGGGAGGAGAACGAAACACTCTTTACAAGGGTATGAAAATCTCTTCCTAGCAGACGCGTTATAAATATCTTGAGGTAAAAGCTTTAAAGAAAAAGTTCAAAGAGGACAATATCTACTATCAGTGGGCTTGGACTGTTACAAATGGTATCAAAGCCAGACATCGGACGACGTGCCAGCAAGGAAGCTGAGCCCTATAGAGGGGTGGACACAAGGCGGTGTGCCAGCAAGGACACTAGGCCTCGAAGGGGGTGGATCGTGAGATCCCACATCGGTTGGAGAGGGGAATGAAGCATTCTTTATAAGGGTGTGGAAACCTCTTCCTAGTAGACTTGTTTTAAAAACCTTGGAAAACCCAAAAATGACAATATCTTCTAGGGATGGACTTGGGGTGTGTAAGTGTTTACCTCCTATTAAATTCTTGTTCTGCCATGCCAACTTTTTGACAGGTGAACCAAAAGATGATACTCATACTAACTGCTAGCATCATGTACTGGAGCCTGCTGCAACAAGCAGGGGAGTCCGAGCCGTTAATCATGAACGACGATAACGTTTCAGATACGAACACAGAAACTACCGACGGGACCGAATTGTCCTCTGCTAACAAGGCCTGTGCTTTGGCCCAAAATGAGGACGAGTCTCCAGAAGAATCCTTAGCAAATCAAAGCGCAAATTCGTAATAGAGACCAACCCAAAAGAGCAAGGCAGCATTCTTTTTTTCCTTTTGATTAAATTTATTTATTGGGAGAATATATAATACAGGAAAAAAAATGGTTACAGTTTAGCTTATTCTACTGTTTGGTAATGGTTTACCTGTGGAGGAAATAGACTATATTCATTTTCTGGGAATTTTGAACTAGAAAATCTTGTTAATTAGGGCTGTATTTTCTTTTCAACAATTATAATAAATATCATACAATAATAAGGATCACTTTCTTATCCTTTCGTTATCTGTTCTAACATTTTTTCGTCCCGACCAACGCTATTATTAAGTATGTTCTTTGAGTTTGAAAGGATACGTTTTTATGCTTCACATTAATATTTTTTGTCCGAAAAATTATGTAACGTGGCTGGTATAATGTGGGTGATGAGAAGTCATTTGGATAGTCATGAATAGTAACCTAGAGGGTGGAGAATCTCAATTTGAATGGAGAACGAGAGAGGGAGTGTAGAGAGATTATTTTCTAGCGAAACGGGGTTGAGGATGGGAATTCCCTCCTCGTACTTGACTCCTTTCCTGCCCCTTCGAGTCGAAAACGGGTTGCAGAGTTGAGTTTTTATTTTTTATTTTTTTTACGGTGGAATAGAGAGATTCAAACTTCAAACTATGTTGATTTAGATATTTTTTTTTTTTTAGATGAATATTGATAAGGTATCCGGTCGAGGGAAAGGTTTGTTTGATACATGATAAGGAATCACTACAAGGGAAGTAAGATTCAGATTACCTTGTTGATTCAGATTACCTTGTTAATCGAATATCTTAGATTCAGATTACCTTCTTCAGCGCAAGAACACTTTTTTGAGACTTGAATCACTACACAAGCAAGATTGATCTTGTCTAGCTTGATTGAGATCTGAATAACTTCACACAAGATTGATCATGTCTAGCTTGAATGAATGATTCTAAAAATGCAATACCCCTAATAATAAAGAATCCCTACAACTAAAAGTAAAATTCAAATTACTTTGTTGATCGAATATCTGAAGGCTATAACACTTGTTTGAGATTCGAATCACTTCACAAGCAAAATTGATCATATCGAGCTTGATTGATTGTACATGCAACCTAAACTATATCGAATTGCAAAAACTTAGACATTGACTAAAGGAAAGCACAAATGCTTCTTTTACCCTATTTTCAAAGTCTCTTTTACAACCGATTAAATGAGTGATATATGAATAAATTGAAATGATATCCAAATAAGAGCGATTACGAGAATAGGATGATCAAGAAAAACTTAAAAGAATTGAGAATGACTACCAATATCAACTAGGTGCCTCTTATTTTTTAGTAGCTCAATCATAAAAACCTCAGGTGTCGAATCTAGATTCTGAATTGTTTTTGTAGCCGATTCAATATGTCTACCCATGTAGAAATAGATGAGTAGTTACATTAAGTGTTTATTTGAGACTTAACAATGAAGCCTCGTCCTCTCATTGGCTCAAGAGAAACTTAGTTTATAGTTGATCATAAACAAATTATTGATTAGAAAATGTGATAATTAAGGTAAAAAATTTAATGATAGAGTAAAATAAAATTTGACCCATTCTAATTACAAACAATTTATGAAGGATCGTATAGCGATATATCAATGGATACAACTTGTCCTACAACACATATGAGTTCAACTATTTTATAGTAGGTAAGACGTAACATATGGTTAATAAATGAAAATTGTTTAATTAAAGATTTTAATTAATTAATTTTGTATCGTTGAAGCTTAAAATATATAGGTCGATAAAGTCCATTTGCTAGCTCACACCAACGCTAAAAAAAATTATTAAACCCATAAACCTTTATATGAGAATCAATTCGTTCATACATCAATTCTGGCACGTTTACAAATTTCTTAAAAAACTTAGATTATCCACTTGAAAATCATTATTGAAAATTCATAAGTTTAATTGATAAAATTAAAAGTTCACACTCATATAAACTACCCGAGTAAATAGATCGAGTTACGAATTATACCCGCGCAAATCTCGGAAACTTATATAAACATATAAGTAGGATTCAATACACACTAAAACCGGCTAGATAAAACCTGTGTTTTTTCAGTTGTTCCTCATTTAGATTCACACGATTGCAGAATACCTCCGTTTGACCATTTGACAAAATACGTCGAATGGATCACCAAAGTTTTAGACGAAAATTTTGTAGGGAGTGGCAGAGATTTAGTTGCCACTCTCCGACGATAATTTATATTTAAATAGGAAATCTGTTCAGAATATGTAACAACCCTGATTTTTTAACGCACTAAAAATTTCAGTCATTCTCTCTCTCTCTTATTTTAACCATTTTATTTTTCTTCTAACAACCTCCCTTTCCTCTCATCGAATTCCTGTGGCTAATTATCGAAAAACAACAAGTGGTATTAGAGCCAAATTGAAGCCATCGGTGTATATCATTACGAAGGAGCCAACCTATCAACAAACAAGTTGAATAGTTAAAGTGGTTAGAGCGTCGATCTAACAACACACATGTTGACCTAACAACACACAGGTCTCAGGTTCAAGTAGAAGAAAATGCAAAGTGTAAAAATACACACATATTGTGCACATCGTGGGGCCCATCTTAGGTCGGCTAGCCATTCGACACGGGAGGGAATCAAATCCCATCGGGTCGGCGCGAATCTGTTGATGATTTTTCAATGCGGGTCTGAGGGTTCATTGAACTGCGGGGGGGGGCATTGAACTGCTGGAAAAAGCCCGGGCCCGCTTACGAAAAGTCGAAATGGAAGCGGATCAGTGGATGAGCGATCTTGGCGTGCTCAGGCTCGACAGTACCTTACTGTCACTGAAATTCAAACGTTGCACCTCTGAGCATGGCATGTACACGCACGACCATGGCAAGAAGCGACTGATCGTGGGAGTGTACATCGACGACCTCATAATCACTGGAGGTGACGTGGAAGTCCTCGGAAGGTTCAAGAAGGAGATGTCGAAAAACTTCGAGATGAGCGATCTTGGCGTGCTCAGCTACTATCTTGGCATCGAAGTGCATACGCGAAGAAGCTGCTTGACACAACTGGGCTTGTGGACAGTAATCCTACAAGGACGCCAATGGAGATCCGACTCCAACTAAGGAAGGCCGGCACTACGACGACAGTCGACTCCATCAATTACCGCAGCATTGTCGGGAGTCTGCGCTATCTGGTAAACTCTCGTCCTGATCTTGCTTATTCTATTGGATATGTGAGCCGGTTTATGGAAGCACCTAGGGAGGAGCATCTAGTGGCTGTCAAGCGCATCCTGCGCTATGTAGCCGGAACCAGAGGCTGGGGTGTAAGATACTACGCAGGGAGCGGAAAGGAGAAACTCAAGCTGGTCGGCTATAGTGATATTGACATGGCCGGTGACGTTGATGATCGTAAGAGCACTAGCGGAATGATCTACTTTCTCTCAGGTGGCGCAATCTGCTGGCAATCAACAAAACAAAAGGTAGTTTTTTTGTCTTCTTGCGAAGCAGAATACATCACCGCTTCGATGGCAGCAACACAAGGAATCTGGCTTTCGCGACTAATGGAAGAACTCATCGGGAGAGAAAGTGATCCATCAATGCTATACGTAGACAACAAAGCTACAATCTCCCTGATCAAAAATCCAGTTTTGCACGAACGGAGCAAGCACATAGAAATCAGATTCCACTACATTCGAGAATGTGCAGATCGAGGGCTCATCAAGATTGATTACATCCGAACAGAGAAACAACTTAGAGACATCTTCCCCAAGTCCCTGGCACGGGTGAAATTTGAAGAACTACGCTCAAAGATCGGAGTTCAAATAATAAGGTAGATATACCACAGGTTTTAGGAGGAGATTGTTAGATAAAACCTGTGTTTTTTCAGTTGTTCCTGATTTAGATTCACACGATTGCAGAATATCTTCGTTTGACCATTTGACAAAACACGTCGAATGGATCACCAAAGTTGATGAAAATTTTGTAGGGAGGCACAAATTTAGTTGGCCACTCTCCAGACATTTTTAGGATAATTTATATTTAAATAGAAAATTTGTTCCTAATATACAACAACCTGATTTTTTTAGAGCAGTAAAAATTTCAGTCATTCTCTCTCTTTTATTTTATGCATTTTATTTTTCTTCTAATAACCTCCCGATTTCCTCTCACCCAATTTCTCGGGCTTATTATCGAAAAACAACAAAACCGAGGTAGGTGTGGGTTAGTTTATTTAGTTTCCATGGTGTTTGATCTTAGTGTCCACTTCAGTTCTGCGGAGGGCAGTTTCGTTTATAAGGACTACAGGGTGTGGGTGGCGGATTGCAGAGGTACAATCGATTATAAGGATCGCATACGGGTTTGTTGCGGTTTCCTGCGCGGGGGCTGATGTAAACGGTGCGGCCTTCATGTATGACCGCTGCTGCATCCACAAACAAATTTAAGCTTTCACTGTATATACTTAACCAAAACTAAAACCGTAGGCTGCACAATATGTAAGAACCTCACCATTGTTTCCGGCCACCATTAGCTTCGTGGCTGCACCCAGCTCCGAGGAGACAAGGAAAAAGAAGAGCAAGAGAGCCAAAAAGACCCCACCCTTCCCACCACTCATTCTAGTTCATATCTCTTATCATTCCAATGTGTTTTTATAGGCCATGGGAGAGAGACAAGTTATTTCAAACCTATACAACTTATAAATATCTTCGAGTCTTGGACGTTAACCACCGAAAATTTAAAATATATAAAGAAATTAATCAAAATAAGAAAGCTTATCCCACGTCTGTCACGCTGAGAAAGTGGAGAATCTCATAATCCACTCTCTTTAAGGGCTCCGTGTTTGGCTCTGATATCATTTATAACAACTCAAGCCTACCGCTAACAAATATTATCCTCTTTGAACTTTTTTTTTTTAGGAGAGTAGGGAATCTCACCATCCATTCTCCTTGGGGGCTCCGTGTTTTGATTTGATATAATTTATAATAGCTCAAGTTCACTGTTAGTGTACATTATCATCTTTGAACTTTTACTAAGGAGAGTAGGGAATCTCACAATCCACTCTCCTCGGGCACTCCATGTTTGGCTTTGGTATCATTTGTAACAGCTCAAACTCACCGCTAGCAGATATTATCCGCTTTGAACTTTTGCTTGAGGGGAGTGGGAATCTCATAATTCACTCTCCTTGAGGGCAATGCATTTGGCCCTGATACTATTTGTTACAACTCAACTCCACCCCTAACAGATATTCTTTGGATTAGGGAGAAGTTTCCGCTCCCTTATAAAATTGTTTGGTTGCCGTCTCCAACCAATGTGAAATCTCATATATTTCTTACATGGAAAATTAATCAACTATTTCTTACCAGAGGTATATTTCTAATCACTATTACACCTTTAAACGGTGTATCATACGTGGAAGATTAGTCCTTATTATGATATAAAACAAACGTTTTGATTCCATCATCTATTCACTAAACTAGTTTAAGTTATTATCAGAAGCAATTAAGGGATCATCACTATCATTACATTCAACAATACTAGCCTAACTAGAACTTTTAGTTAATTTTCTCGATTTTATTTGAACCATGTTATTAAGTTTTCATATCATATCTTAGATGATATAGGAGATATTGTCCATTTTGACCTATTACCTATCGTCGTCAGTCTCACATTTTAAAACATAATGTAGAAGATATTGTCCGCTTTGGTTCGTTAAAACACATCGAATGGAGAAAGATTTCCAAACCATTATAAGAAATGTTTTGTTTTCCTCTCCAACTAACGTGAGATCTCACATATCCAATATTAAAAGTCATGATATTTTTAAGACTCGTATAGGTTAAAATATTATTGGCATTGGTTAGGTAGCTTTCCATTTTTGTATTAAATGGTCTTTGAGTAAGTTGACTTACAAGTCAAGAATATATTAATAAAAATATTTGAAAAGAAAAAATTAAATTAAATTAAATAGAAGGGAATGTATTATGTCGATAAATAATATGTTTAAAAATTAAATATAACGTTATACGGGAATATTGTCACAATTTCATATAAATAAATATCACGATACTATTTATGTATACATTGAACCATCATTCAAATTTTATGAGAAAAAATTGTATTTGTATTTATTTTAGGAAATTAATGAGTAAAACGTTCAAATTAATTCAAAATATCATTAAAAATTAATAATTCCTAATCTCAATAAAAATAAATAAAGAAATGAAAAATAATTTTGATCGAATATTTGGTCAGTTAAGACAGGTAACCTATTGCTAAAACGTTCTCTACCATCGATGTGAGGTCTCATAATTCACTCTCAGCCCATCGCTGACAGATATTATTTACTTTGACCCGTCATTAATATCATAGTTTTAAAATATTCTTCTCTCCAACTAATGTGTGATCTCACAATTCATCCGAAGTGTCTGTTTTGGCCCGTTACATATGGTCCTCAGCCTCACGGTTTTTAAACGTTCTCCTCTCCAACTAATGTGGGGATCTCACAATCCATCCATTGCGGAACAGTTAACACACCTCCCACTGCCTAACTCTGATACCATTTGTAACCGCTCAATCTCACCACTAACAGATATTTGTCCGCTTCGGCCCGCTACGTATTGTCGTCAGTCTCACCGTTTTAAAACGAGTCTGTTAGTGAAGGTTTCTACACTCTTATAAAAAATGTTTCGTTCTTCCCACGGATGTGAAATCTATTAATTAATTAATTAGTTATATTTAAAATAGAATTGCAAATAAAAAATAAGAGGTAAGTTCAATCTCACTTTTAAGATTGGCATAAGAGCATCATTCTTAACTAGCATTAAGAAAGCTTCCTCATTTCTATCTCCAAATCTGTTGCATGAACCAACCCTTTTAAGATTTGATGAATTCACTAACATTGCTGCAGCACTTGCTGCACCGGCCGCCGTTTTTGGTACCGCAGCAACCATGCTGGCAACCACCATCAGGACCGTGACCCCTGCAACTGTCAAAGTAATTACCACAGCCGGGGATGTCATCGACGCCACTGCCGCTGCCGTTATCTCCTCGGCTATACTTGGTCTGTAAAAGGTCTCTTGCGGCCACTTCTGAGGAGATGTCGACCACGACAACGCCCAAGACAAGACCTAAAAATGCAAATGCCTTAATGAAATTGGAACTCATTTCTTTCTCTCTCTAAAAACTTGTAATTCCGAGAGGGAATGAGGAGATCTTGCACCCTTTCTTAATCTATTTAAAGGCGGAAATGGCCAAATGAATCAAATTAAAAAGTTTACCTTTTTAACCTAATATCACTGTTGGCCCTTCCTTAATTTAAGAAATGATTATGGGATTATAAGTAAGGATACATCTCCATTGTTATGAGACCTTTTGGAAAAGTTCAAAGCAAAGTTACGAGAGTTTATGCTCAAGATGGATAATATCTACGGGAAGAACTGACAACTAACTGATTATCTAATCCGAACCATAAAAGTTAGGTTGAGTTAGATTTTTTTGGTTGGGTAGGTTGAAATTTTGAAGAACTAAAAAATCTAGCGAGATCCTAATAACCCTATTTTTAAAATCATTACAAGTATTAAGAATATTTGATGTTTGTAAATAGTTGGTAATGTGTTGTAATTTGTGATGAGTTGTAAATTCTATTGGAGTTGCTCGAGTCACCAACCTAACCAATCTGAAGTTTTGATTTGGTCCGAAAGATTTTTTAATCCCAATCCGTATATACTATTACTTTCTAACTTCAAAATTGGTTCAAAACATTTGATTAAGGGATTTTTTTTTCATTGAAATAAGAACAAAAATGATGCAACAAAGTTAAAACGTAAAAATTAAAAATACACACGATATCATCAATAATATCATTCAAGTAAATTGACATGACAACGGATGAGTAAAAATTGATTTTGTAAATTATTGTGACGATATTTTTTGAAATAAAATAAATAGAGATACCGATCTTAGTTTTTTACATAGTTGTAAATCTTCTAACTTGCGCGTACGAAATTATTTTTTTTTTTTCGCGGAGTTGTGATCCATTCCTTCAAAACGTAAATTATTATGTTATTATGTCGGTTGGTAAAGGGTAGATGTCAATTATTATATTAAATGGTCGTAGAAAATTTAAAAAGAAAAAAGGGACTAATTTCACTACAAACTCTATTATTATGTCCTTAGGACTTTATGACTTTCATATTACATTAAATAAAGATAGTGTTTTAGCTTAGGATTAATTGACAAGTAATTTATATATCTTAAAAAATGTAATGTTTTTTTTTTTTAATCTTTTTCATATGACACCATAGATATTATTAATTTTGATAAAAATTTAACTTATGAACCTGAAAATAATATGATATTCATCGACACGTTATTTCAAATTTAGAAATGAACTCTTTAATGATGATGAATTAGAGAAATACAAGTCGCCTAAAAATAATATTGAATAATGTATTTTGTCAAGTCAATACATATATAATTTTTTTAATAGTTAATAAATTCTTAAATTCATTAATTTTAGAGGTCTATTTAGCCTACGAGGTCAAGGCCGGTAGGAAGCTACCTCGAACATGGGAGAGAATTCCATTTAATCAGAAAATGGAGAGGGAGTGAAGATAAGTTTTTCTCCATTAACTAAGCAGGTCGAGGACGAATATTACATTCCCAGCCTTATATATATATACACACACACAGAATCCTCGCTTTAATTCTTGCAAAAATCAATAGAAAATTTTGTAAAAATAAAAAATGAAATAGGTGGGAATTGAGATGTTTTCACGGCCTCCGCCCGTGCTCCATGTACATCTCTATTCATAACGGACTATTTTGGTCTAATCGAACTGAACCAAAAGAACAAACCAATTAGTTTCAACTTTTTCTATTTGGCCTCTGATCTTGGCCAAACCGAAGTTTCTCGATTTCCATTAAAAATCAAACCAATTTATTCAATTGAAAGTGAGAGAGGGATTGAGAAACGTGGCCACTTTGTAACAACGACATATGTTCAAGTCTTTAGCTTCTTATTAAAAAATATTTTAGAAAATAAGGTTAGAATAACTTTTTGAAATATGTTTGCAGTGTATTAGCTAGCCATCAATAATAGTGATCATATTTATAGCATATAACTTTGGACCACTAGTTTGGTACAATTAATTTGAAAAATGAAGTCATCAGTCTTACAGTTTTAAAACGAGTTGGTTACGAGAAATTTCCACCCTCTTATAACAAATGTTTCGATCTTCTCTCTAATTTCACAATCCACCCTTTTGGAGCTCAACGTTCTTGCTAGCACACCACTCGGTGTCTGGTTTTAATACCCTAGCCCAAACTCACTGCTAACAGATATTGTCCGTTTTGACCTGTTACACATCGCCGTCAGCCTCACAGTTTTAAAATGCATTTATTAGGGAGAGGTTTCTACACTATTAGAAACAATGTTTTGTTCTCTTCTCCCAACGTTGGATCTCAACAAACATTAAAAAAGAAACAAATTTTAAGATTTACCTTAATAAGACAACCTTAATTGTAGCATTGTCTGATTGAATAATTTGTCTACTACGACTTGTTACACGTATCTTATTATACATGCACAGAAATATGTTACATCATCCATGATTGATATACTTAGTCATAAAAATGAATTATTAAGGCTAAGTTAAAGTTTTAAAAAGTATATGAAAAGAATATAAAAAAGTGTTAGAATTAGAAAAAAAGAAATTATTAGGAACAACATTTTACATGATTATTTAATTAACTTATACAATAAAGCTTAAAATACACACAATTAATCTCAATAGTAGAGATTAACTAATGCCCTTGTAGTTGGGCAAGCTTACATGGACACGACCAAGCCTTAACAACTCAAGCATAATAATGCATTTATTCATAACTTACACAATCACTATAACATTGATTTGAACCAACACCATTTTCAATTGTTAGGCTTGGCTTGTGGATCTTCATTAACATCCTCATCAGCAGAGCAACCGTGACGACAGTGCCTGTGGTGGTGCCTGTGGTGATGCTTGTGCCCATGGTGGCCTCCCCCGAACCGACGCTTGTCATCCTCGATTCCATCTCCGTTAGTCTCCATCACGGCTTCTTCAACTGTATGATATAATCAAAGCCCTAGGAATAGTAAGCTAAGTCCATAATTTAAACGTAATCATTAACGATATCATCAAATTAACATATGAAATACAAGTTTACCGCTCTTTAGACCTCTCGCGGTAGCTGTAGCCTCCTCTGAGGAGAGGAGGATGACAACAGCAAAAAGGAGGCCGAGAATGATAAAAGCTTTAGAATTCATTGTAAACGCTCGAGCTAAAGAAATATGGAAAAAGTTGTAGAAGGAATGAGAAGATTAGTAGAATTTTGATTGTATTTATAGGAGAAGATAGGAAGATGGGTTTCATTGGACTTAAATGGCAATTAAAGATTGTCCCTACTATATAGTTGAGTTGGTGTACAATGGTTTCAATTTTGTTTGGAGATAAGTTTAGTTGATATTTCTTCAAAAATTTGAATGGATAGCAACCATACCTATTGGATAGCCACCTAAAATTAACATCATTGTCCTCTTTAGACTTTTCATTTCAGATTTCCTCTCGACGTTTTTAAAATACTTATGTTCGGAGAGGTTTCCACATCTTTATAAAGAATGCTTTGTTCACTTCCCCAAACGATGTAGGATCTCACAATCCACCCATCTTCAAGGCCCAGTGTTCTTGCTAGCACTCGTTATTCTCTCTAATTGATGTGGAATCTCACAATTCATCCACCTTTGGGGCTTAGCATCCTCGTTGACACTCGTTCTTCTCTTCAATCGATGCAGAATCTTACAATTCACCCTCATTCAGGGTCCAACGTTCTCGATGACATACCGTTCGGTGTCCACCCCTTATTTACGCATAAAATAATTACGTTATGTATATGATAGCAACTTTAGATTAGTAAAATCTAGGGTGGTTACAAATACAATAGAATTATATGGTGGATAAAGTGTAAAAATTGAAAGATATACATGACATTATTCACATTCATAGACAGGTGATTGGATATGTAGAAAATGATTTTAACGATATAGATTCATATTAAATAAATGGTTACAACGATCTAAATCTTCTACATAGCTATAGATGATGTCACGTACGTTTTTTAATTTTTATCTACGTAAATTATTTACCCGTTTTATATTAATAAAAATATATTTGTTAATATTAAAATTAGTATTCCATGCAAGCCCTATCCCAAGGAGGATTTTTAAAACATTTCATCCACTTGGTAAACTAGGCGGCTACTCGTGCAATGGAAAATAATTTGGGTTTTGGTGGTTGAATGTCCAATCAATAATAAACAATGGCAATTAAGTTTGATTTATTATTTGACGTTGTTGTTTTCAAATATGCCTATTAGTTAATGCACATGTTATCAAATTAGAGATAAAATAGATATCCATGTGGAGGGGCATTTTCGTCCTCGACACGTTGTTTCAATTTTCATTTTCGTAAAATTTTTCATTTCGTTTTTTCGATTCAAGATCAAAATTTTCGCTATTTTTCATGTTTTCAAAAAATAATTTCTATTTTTCAATATAAATTTTATTTAAAAATATAATATAATGTTATACCAAGGAGATTTTTAAAATTTGAAATGTGCATGTTGTATAAACTCGGAGTTTTCATAATACAAAACATATTTCAAGTACCACTAATGGATATTATCTACTTTAGCTAGGTATCGTTGTTAGCTCTTAGTTTTAAAATGCATCTAGTAAATAGGGTTTCCATACTCTTATAAGAAATTTTTCGTTCCCCTCTCCAACTAATGTAGGATCTCTCCATCCACGCTCTTGAGATCTCAGCGTTCTTATTAGCATACTGCCCTGTGACTAGCTCTTACATTTGTAACAACTCAATCTCACTATTAGTAGATATTGTTCGTTTTAGTCTGTTACGTTTTGTCATAGGTCGCATGGTTTAAAACACATCTGTTAAAGAGAAGTTTCCAGCACACCCTCATAAGAAATGTTTTAATTCCCATTTCCAAAACAAGGTGGATTGATCGATCCCACATAGATGGAGAATTAACTCAAGTGTCACAATTATCCTCGACCGTTCAAATTTTTTTTACTTCGTTGAAACCTAGCAAATAAGCAAAACTTCTCATTCGTTTTCTCGTAAAGGAAGAATTTATGAGAGAAGAACACGAACAAGAGACATTTTTTTACAAAGGTATTTTTGAATTTTTTTTTCCATTCAATATATCACACGAGAATGAATCAACATTTCTATTATACCATAAAATTTTGATACACAAAGTAACAAAATATATGATACTTGAACCTGCCTCAATTACGTTCATATGATAGATTAACATCGAGTAGCCAATTTTCTTGAAGTAAATTTTACTTTCTCCCCTCTACCGTTCTTTTTCAAATCCAACCTTATTCTACACAGTACGGTAAACTCAATCACTTGTCCCTGATTTCCCTCCTAAAATCAACTCAACCAGACTCTTAGCCGGCTGAGCTGTGAAGTAGCCCATAGGTGCCGCCAGCTCTGTCTTCCTACTTAAGCTTAAGGCATCCCCTCCAGTTCGATTAATTCCGGATTTTGATACCTGACGTTCTTCAGTTCTAGGTCTTAACACTCTCCGAATATCATTGAATAAAGTGGTAGTGGTTTAGTTGTTAGATCCGGATTCAAAAATCTATAAATTTATTAATGTACGTTCATATCTATGTTTGAAATACTTTTATCCTTTTTCTCTTCTTCACCAACTGTACCTTCTTGTAACATTTTTAAAAGTTGTAGCAAGAAATTATATCAAATAATTAAGTAAAATAAAACTTTTAATTATATAATTATTTATATATATAAAATATAGTGACTTTTAACGATTGAAATGTGTTCACATTATAGAGATACCAAAAAACGTTTCGATTTAATCGGCATGATTAAAAACCAAATACAAAAGAAAACCTAAGTCATTCCATTCCCCATGCATTTATTACTCAACACAAACCTTAGGGCTTTGTGTCACGGTCATGCTCGTCCAGGGCGTGTTGCCCATGGCCGCATGCCTATGGCAAGCCAAACCCTTGTCATGTCTTTTCATTCTAGTGTTTTTACTTTTGTAGTTCTAGGGCGTATGACGCCTCAAAAATATCATGTCTAGGCCTGCCAGACATGAAATGCCTCACAATGTACTATAGGGGGATATGACTAGTTGTCAACTTCTCCCTACCCAAGGTTATATATGCTAAGCCGTTGTTATCTCTCTCTTGCTTGCTTATATAACGTCTCTTTCAAAAATCTCTCTTTCTAAAATCTCTCTCTACCCTCGTTTTCCAAAACCTTCTTTTAAAACCGAGGTTAGAGGCTTGATCATACGTCGCTTGGCCGTAGGCGACGCAAGTACAAATTGGCTTAGCTCACTTGTCGTTGGAAAGTGAGTGCCGCACAATCGCTAGTCCGCTGCCTTTAAAAGTGCGATTGTGTCAAGTGGTATCAGAGCTTTGTTAGCTCCGTGACACAGTAAAGACCGAAACCATGTCGGCGACAAAGTCGACACCCAAAGCACAAGCCGACCGGCTTACGCTAATAGAGGAGGAAATGTTGTTTCTCAAAGAAGTCCCTGACACCCTCCGTTTCCTGGAAGCACGGGTGACCGAATTGAGTGAGAAAGTCGTAGGAATCGACGCAATGGGCAGCCACCTGGATGGGTTGCCAATCGCAGAATTGATGTTTCGTGTGACCTCTTTCGAAGAAAGAGTTGCTCCTATGAGCAGCCCAAAACCGTCTGGTAGTCCGGATAGCTCTGTCGCGCACAAGGAGGGACGTGGCGAAGAGTTCGACGTGCTACAAAATACAATGATGAACTTGTTCAATGGATTAGCTGATGAGTTCAGAACAACAATCAACAACATCCAAGAAAGGATGGCCTCCATGGGCACTCGAATTGAAATGACCATGAAAGCCGTGGAGAACGTCACGACTGGACAAACTAATACAGGGTCCAACAAACTAAGATTCCAAGATCCTAGAGCCTTTAAAGGGAATCGGGACGCCAAAGAGTTGGAAAACTTCATCTTTGATGTCGAACAGTACTTCAAAGCCACAACGGCTTGTACTGACGACAAGAAGGTGACCGTAGTCTCGATGTATCTCATAGACAACGCCAAACTGTGGTGGCGTACGAAGGTGCAAGACATCGAGGATGGATTGTGCACCATTGAGGATGGATTGTGCACCATCGAGGATGTCGAACAGTACTTCAAAGCCACAACGGCTTGTACTGACGACAAGAAGGTGACCGTAGCCTCGATGTATCTCATAGACAACGCCAAACTGTGGTGGCGTACGAAGGTGCAAGACATCGAGGATGGATTGTGCACCATTGACTCGTGGGAGGACCTTAAGAAAGAGTTGAGAGACTAGTTCCTCCCCGAAAACGCAGGACATTTAGCCATGGAAAAACTAGTAGCCCTGAGACACACTGGAGGCATACGAGACTATGTCAGGCAGTTCTCAACCTGATGCTAGATATCAGGGGCACATTAGAGAAGGACAAGGTGTTCTTCTTTATAAATGGGTTACAGCCGTGGGCCAAAACAAAGCTACACGAGAACAAGGTCCAAACCCTAGCTGCCGCAATGGCCTGTGCCGAGAGACTCCTAGACTATGGGAACGAAGCGGGATCCCAAAGAAGAATAACACCAGCCCCAAACACTGGGGGCAAGCCATACAAACCACCAATTCATCGAAATGGAAGCCCCAACAGGCCGAACGGAGGTAACGACAGACCAAACGGATGGACGGATAGACCTCCTCAGAACAACCAAGCGGGGACATCTCGAGGACCTTACCATCAAAGAAACCACCCGACGACGCCTTTACAATGCATGCTGTGTAAAGGTCCCCACAAAGTATCTTACTGTCCTCATCGGGCCTCTCTCACTGCGCTCCAAGTGTCCATTCAAGAGAGCAATGACGCAAGGGTTGAGACTATGCTTGACAAGAAGGAAGATTAAGACAATCCCAGAATGGGCGCGCTTAAATTCTTATCAGCCCTCCAACGGAAGGTCGAACCGAAGGAGATAGTAGAGAAAGGGCTCATGTTCGTAGATGCGACAATAAATTCCCAACCGAATAGGAGCACTCTGATAGATTCAGGAGCGACCCACAGCTTCATCGTCGATCAAGAAGCCCGAAGATTAGGACTCACTATAGGAAAGGACCCGGGAAAAATGAAAGCTGTCAACTCTGAGACCTTGCCTATTGTGGGAGTTTCCAAAAGAGTCCCCTTTAAAATAGGGGATTGAACAGGAGAGCTAGATCTTGTCGTAGCTCGCATGGACGACTTTGACGTGGTACT